GCTGGGGAAGGGGGTGGGGGTCCGCAGCCCACCGCCTTTGGGGAAGCCCACGACCCAGATGGAGAGGTTCTGGTGCTGTGCTTAGATCGCAGCCCCGCTGTGTCTGCGGGCGCTAGTGGGGTCAGGAGGGGTCCGTGCAGGGGTGGCGGCGGCGGTGCTGGGGAAGGGGGTGGGGGTCCGCAGCCCACCGCCTTTGGGGAAGCCCACGACCCAGATGGAGAGGTTCTGGTGCTGTGCTTAGATCGCAGCCCCGCTGTGTCTGCGGGCGCTAGTGGGGTCAGGAGGGGTCCGTGCAGGGGTGGCGGCGGCGGTCCCCTGCAGTGCAGGGTGCAGCCTCGGGGGTACTGCCCGTCTCACGCCGAGGCCGTCCTGGCGCCAGGGCTGTCCTTCCTCGCTCCCCTTCCCCAGCTCCGCACTCACCTCAGCCCAGTCTCCTGCACAGGTGCCTTGTTCTCTGCGGAAAAGCGAGACGGCCCCTTAGCACAGCCGGTGTTTCGAGGAGGGAGCTATGCAAAGTTGATGTTTGTAGGCACTAAAGCACAATCTGCCAGGTGGAAGCAAACGGCACAAGAAAGCAGCCGGAATTGCCCGTCAGGATGCTTCTATATAGTTTTTTATCGTGAGGGTGGTGACACACTGGAACAGGTCGCCCAGAGAAGTTGTGGGTGCCCCGTCCCTGGCAGTGTTCAAGGCCACGTTGGCTGGGGCTTTGAGGAACCCGATAGAGTGGAAGGTGGTGGGGGTGTTGGGTTAGGTGATCTTGGAAGTTCCCTTGCAGCCCAAACCATTGTGTGCTTCTACACACTGTAAAGCACGTTTGTCATTCAAACTTAAAAGTACTTTTGGGAAAATGAGGCAATTCGTTGCCATAGAAGTAAAGCTGTTCAGTTAGCACAACATCTAATGAGCATTCGTTCTATTTAGGAGGCTATTTATGATGCCAGAGTAATTGTGTTTAATTTGAGCCGTTCTAGTAACTCCTGGAGCAGTAGAAACAGTGCTAATAATGGGAGTTGAGAGGCCTTTGTTAGCAACAGTATTGCTAATAAATTCTCATTGCTGAATCTGATAGTTGACATCCTGTCATCCATAAAAAATCCACTGAGATTTTTCTGCCCCCTGTGCACACATTCAGAGTTTTTGGACAAAATCCTACCTGCTCCATATATATGGCCTGGATCAGATTTCAGATTCATCAGTAAGTTGGGCGGATTTTTTTTTCAAGCATTTCAGATGCTTGAGGATATCTCTTTGGACCTTTGTGAACATCTCTTTGGACCTTTGTGAACATCTCTTTTGTTTTATGGCTTTATGTGTTCATGCCTTTGGGTCATTATTCCATACTTTTAAGTGTCCTGGGATCTACCTGCTCACCCTTTGTGACTAGGGTAACACGTGTGGATTGAATTTGACATTTTCAAAAGCCATGAGGATAACTGTCTCCTTTGTAAGTGTATTACTGAGAGGCTCTGTTGCCCCAGAGCAGCGTGTGTTGGCAGGTGCAGAGGAACGTGCTGCCTCTGTTTGTAGCTTCCCCGGTGGCTGTTACTGATTTGATTGATCAGACTCGAGTTTCTGAACTAGTGAGTGTTACTGATGTGATTGATCAAGTTTCTGAACTAATGCTGCAGTGAAGCTGAGGCCTGGCTGTTTACTGAAACGATGAGGAAACTAGACATTGCCAAAAAAGCCTGAATTGCTCTCCTCTCAGAAGGTATGAACTACCTCTGCTATATCTGTGTAAGAGAACACAGCCACATACTCATCTGAGAGGAGAAATCAAGCTGAAGACAGATTATCATCCCGAGGTCTTGGCCAGTTGAACACCAAGTGAACGTAGGCTCTCCAACTGCGTATGGCCGTGAGGAACAGATGCTGGCAGATGCCCTTTGAAAGAGAGGACAGTTTTCTTACCTCTTTAAAAATATTTTTCCATGCAGCTGATGTACATTTAGTGTAGTTCTGCTTGAACTTGAGGCAGCTATCCATGTGTGTAGCCTTGTGTAGGCTTCCAGTTGTACTAAAGTAGGTTTGCCCTCAGATTCTGCAATTTAGATACGTTGTGGAGATCCACTTCACATTCCCCTGTTTTGTAAGCATCTAGTGGGTTTTAGCCCCTCGGAGCTTTTGATGATTAGCTGGCTGTTACCAGACAGGTTTCTGGGACTGTTTTTCAAACAAGCAGAGGGCTAGCTTGAGACAAGTAAGGGGGCAGGGTAATGCTACAGGTGCCTGCTGCTCTCAGCTCCTGCCCTGTCACACTGGCCAGACGGTGCCTGCTTGTGGTCTCTACTTTTTTTTCTGGGTTGAAGTGTCCAGGAGACAACTGAAGCCCCCAGGACATTAACTGAACATCGTTTGACTGACTTGTGCTGGAGGGTGTTGTCCCACTTCTTGGGAGCAAAGACTAAGCTGAGAAGTGGCTGGGAAGAGTGTCAGTCTTGGTTAAGCAGCTAGAGTAGATGAATTGCTGATCTTTTCTGGGAGTAGGGCAGGTTTCTTTGAAAGATTCCCCCCAACCTGCTTAGCATTTCTGCTTGGGAGGCAGGGTGGTGCTGCTGGTGGCAGTGACAGACAGAGCTGACATGTTAGGGGATAATCTGCAAGTAGAGTCAAGTACTTGAAGAGTTTTCAGGATTTTATTGATGAATGAAGGAGCTGAAATCTGCAGAGACTGTTCTTCTAAAGGTATTCTGGCATAGCTCTTGATAGACTAGAACTTGTCTAGCTGGTTTTTGAACATCCAGAAATTTGCAGCATCCACAACAAATCATGAAAAGGAATTCCATAAGCTTCCATCTGTTCTATTAAGAACTTGCTTTTTCACTTGTTTTGAACTTGACAGATCAGTGGCTTCTTCTTGTGTTGGAAGGCGATGTGATTCGTTGTTCCCTGTTTGGCTTTGTCGTGATTCTGCAGACCTCTGCTGTGTCCTTTTCTCAGTCCTTTTTCTTTCCTCCTGCAGAAACCCAGCTGTGCTGGTGATTGCTTGTGTGGGAGCCACTCTGGTGTGTGGTGTGAACCTTCTCTGTACTTAAAAGTGCAGAGTACCAGTGATCTTACTGTATCATTTTTCAGTGGATACATTGGAGGGGAAGCAAAGCTCCGTGCCCTGTTGAGGAGTGATGCACTATGGGTTTGCACAGTTAAAAAGTTGAGACAAAGAATATTATTTTTTTTCTAACAACTTCTGGTGTCCAGGTCTGATTTGTTCACTGTTGATGAGTTTTTCAAATAATGCATTTTTGCAAATAGTATAAAAACTTTTTGTTGTGTGTGTGTGTGACTGTTTCAGGAAATGTTTCAAACAACATCAGAAGACTTTTTTCCAAAGATGGAAAGCTCAGTGGAAGAGATGGACACTTCTGATACCCAGTGGGGCTGGTTTTATTTGGCCGAGTGTGGTAAATGGCATATGTTTCAGGTAAATGCCTCTAAAGCTGTATTAGCTGTGATGGATTCTGTACATCAAACTGCCTATTCCTGAATTTGTCTAATTGTGCTTTTTCATTTATTTTGAAGACTGATTCAAACAGTCATTGCTCTGTTAGCAGTGAAGACATTGAAAGGAGCTTCCGAGCAAACCCACAAGGCTCTGTTTCTTTCACCACTGCAAAGTTCAACTACACACTGGACTTCTCAGGTATGGTGTATCTTTGTAGGTTTAAGTAATGGAAGGTGCTGGATACACCAGTTAATTTTTGTCTTTCAGCAAATTTTTGTCCTTGTATCGCGCGCAGAAACTGGTGATTGGAGATGCCTTCTGTGCTGGCAGGCACCTCGTGTTGGGAAGCAGCTGCCCTCTTGTATTTTCTAGTGTAGTTTATTAATAAAGTAGCAGGTCTTGTTTAGTAGCCCTGCGTGGTGTTCCTGCTCCTCACCTCAGCTGTAGTGGTACGTAGCATGCATCTGTGGGATTGGGAAGTTTGAACCTTTTTTCTTTAACAGCCAACTGCTGGCAAGCTTTTAAAACCTCTTCTGTTCAGGGTCTGTGTAAGAAGCATGGAGATAAGGGAAGTTTACTGCAGAATACTGGCA